GAGTAGTTTCACTGCCCTAGAAATCCTCTATGCTCTGCCTATTCACTCCATCCTGGCAACCACCAACCTTTTTACTGTCTCCAGAGTTTTGCCTTTTCCAGAATGTCATATAGTTTAAATCATATAGTGTGCATGTAGCCTTTTCAAATTGGCTTCTTTCACTTAGTAATAAGCATTTAAGCTTCCTGCATGTATTTTTGTGGCTTAATAGCTCATTTCTTTTTGTGCTTAATACTATTCAATTACCTGGGTGTACTACAGTTGATTTATCCATTCACCTTGGACATCTTGTTTCTTCTCAGTTTTGACACTTATGAATATGGCTCCTCTAAACTCTTTTTAAAGACCACATTATTGAGGCAGAGTTCACATACCATATAATTCACCCATTAAAAGTGTACAATTCAGTGACTTAGTATATTCACAATGTTGTGCATTCATCATTACAATCAATTTGAGAACATTTTTATCATTATCACTCTAAAAAAGAAACTCTGCTACACTTAGCCTTCACCCTTCAGTCTCATCACTCTCCCCAGCCCTCAGTTCAGTGGCTCAGTCATGTCCAGTTCTAACTGTTGCTTCATGACCTGCATACAGATTTCTCAGGAGGCAGGTCAGGTGGTCTGGTATTCCCAGCTCTTTAAGAATTTTCCACAGTTCGTTGTAACCCACACAGTCAAAGGCTTTGGCATAGTCAATGAAGCAGAAATAGATGCTTTTCTGGAACTCTCTTGCTTTTTCGATGATCCAATGGATGTTGGCAATTTGATCTCTGGTTCCTCTGCCTTTTCTACATCCATGCTGAACATCTGGAAATTCATGGTTCACATATTGTTGAAGCCTGGTTTGGAGACTTTTGAGCATTCCTTTGATAGCATGAGAGATGAGTGCAATTGTGTGGTAGTTTGAGCATTCTTTGGCATTGCTTTTCTTTGGGATTGGATTGAAAACTGACCTTTTCCAGTCCTGTGGCCACTGCTGGGTTTTCCAAATTTGCTGGCATATTGAGTGCAGTACTTTCACAGCATCATCTTTTAGGATTTGAAATAGCTCAACTCGAGTTCCATCACCTCCACTAGCTTTGTTCATAGTGATGCTTCCTAAGGCCTAGACAGCATATTAAAAAGCAGAGACATTACTTTGCCAACAAAAGTCCGTCTAGTCAAGTTTATGGTTTTTCCAGTGGTCATGTATGGATGTGAGAGTTGGACTATAAAGAAAGCTGAGCACCGAAGAATTGATGCTTTTGAACTGTGGTGTTGGAGAAGACTCTTGAGAGTCCCTTGTACTGCAAGGAGATCCAACCAGTCCATCCTAAAGCAGATCGGTCCTGTGTGTTCATTGGAAGGACTGATGTTGAAGCTGAAACTCCAATACTTTGGCCACCTGATGCAAAGAGCTGACTTGTTGGAAAAGACCCTGATGCTGGGAAAGATTGAGGGCAGGAGGAGAAGGGGACAACGGAGGATAAGATGGTCAGATGGCATCACTGACTCAATGGACGTGGGTTTGGGTGGACTTCGGGAGTTGGTGATGGACAGGGAGGCCTGGCGTGCTGTGGTTAATGGGGTCGCAAAGAGTCAGACATGGACGTGACTGAGCGACTGAACTGACTGAACATGTGTACACATTCTGGTGCAAATGTATGTTTTCATTTCTTATTTATTTTTGCCATAACTTAAACTCACACTTTATCTAAGTTTGTTGTTTTTCTGAGATTTTGGTAATATAACCATGTCAGACTCCTTATGAAATGAAATCTTTGGGGTCTAGATGCAGTTTTTATCAAATGTCATGGTGCCCTTATGCCAACACTCTCAGAATTAGCCCTTGAATCAGCAGGAATGGTGGTGATGCATAATGCTTAACATTTAAAAGCAATGAATACCTAATGTTCTCAAGCTTCTATCCTTAGAAAATCAGAAAAGGGTGTAGGAAGAGAAAATGCAATTCAGCCAAAGGGAACATAAGTAGACCTATAGCATATATAAAAGTGCATATCTGGTCACACTAAAGCATCAGTCATGTGTTTGAGGATGAGAGTAGCAAAAAAAAAAAAAAAGCTAAAAAAGAAGGGTACTCAATTGTGAAAGACTTTAAATGATGGTTTAAGAAGCTTAAATTCTGTATCAAGGCAGTGGGAAGCTAAGGTTTTCATAACCAGAAGAATGGTTTTCCCAGATCTCTGTTTTAGAAAGATGACTGGCAAGCTGATTGAGAGTTAGAGGGAAATATGCATATCAGTCACTCTATCACATGGCACTCTTTCTCTTGCATTCTAGCTTAAGCAAAAAATTTAATTTATTGGCTTCTGTTTCTTCGCAACACAGGAGCAGATTCATCTTCTGACTCACTATCTCTTGGTTCTGCTTTCATGGTATTGATCCCTTCTCTTGTAGTCTCAAGGTGGCATCCAGCCAGGGAAAACAGAATTGTCCCAGCTTCTCAATTAAATCCCAAACATTCAAGTGACTGGGATCAGCTCAGGTCACCAGGGGCTTCCCTGGTGGTTCAGACGGTGAAGAATCTTCCTGCAGTGCAGGAGACCCAGGTTCAATCTCTGGTTGGGAAGATCCCCTGAAGAAGGGAATGACTACCCACTCCAGTATTCTTGCCTGGAGAATCCCATGGACAGAGGAGCCTGGCAGGCTACAGTCTGTGGGGCTGCAAATAATCAGACACGATTGATCGATTAACACTTCCACACTTCCAGGTCATAAAAACACCCTGAAATAATTAGTGGGAATCAAAGGATACTACTGGCCTAGTCTAGGTCAGTGCTACTCAAAGTATGCCCCAGTGCCTGTTTCCAGAGTTTTGTTGCCATCGCAACAAGATGACTATGGAAACTGAGAATGGCTGGAAACTTACTACAATTTGACGGAGTAATTAAATCTAATAATAAAAAAAATTGAGGCTTATATTTTATATGTCATTGTTTGAAAGTCATTTTTCCAGTGATTCATTTTCATTGTATTTTACACAAGTACCAGTCCTCAGTGGATGGGTGTGTGGGAGATAAGACAAACTGGTCCTTCACCAAAGATAGTTTGTGCTCTCAGGTAGAGTGCGCTACTGTGAAGCCTATAGGTGACAGCATTCTGGAAGCACAGAGTGAGGCTTTGGGGAGATCCTTCCCTCTCGCCATGAAAGAAGGCAAAAATAAATGTCCATTATAATTGTGGGATCTCATTTGGAGAGAGGAAGGACACTCCCCATACTTACTTTAGTTCTCTTATTTTCTCATATTTTTTTCTATGTTGACCTGTCCTGGCAGCATTCACTCTGCATAAGCGTTGGATATGGCCATTTTAATAGGCTAAACATTACATGGGCATTCACCTATCCTGCCCATTGGGACTTTTATTACTAGAATCAAAGCATTTGAATGGCTCTCTTTAACCATTAAAAGAAAAACAACTTTGAGCTAGACTAACACAAGGTAATTACTAAGCTGAGCCAAATTTCTCTGCCATGCTCTTGGCACTGAGGTATGGAAAACTCTACAACCCTATAAGAGGTCTGAAGGGGGAAAAAAAGTGTTTAAGACAAATTTCAGGGGTCTCAGTTTCTCATTAAAAATGCATTTTAGAAAATTGTTTTAAGTTAACTTGCTAGGGCAGTTGTATGGCAAGGAAACGTGTGTGGCAATTTGGCAAATTGCAGTTCTCATCTCTCCTTTAAAATAAAATGGAAACAGTAAAAATGCAATTAAAAATAAAATTAAAAAAGCGTAATCTGAATGAGTATTTTGATTTTTTTTCCTAATTAAAGCTTTGCAATTAAAGTTTTGCTGGGGAACAACCTGTGTTTTTAATCTCACAAAGGGCTAATACATGCACAGGATTTGAGATGTCTGCTAACACTCAGATCTGGAAGTGACCTTGGAGAACCTTCTAGTCTGGCTTTCTCATTTTAAAAGTTGGAAGCTGAGGCCAGAGCAGGTTTATTTCTTTTTTCCTTAATCCTTTCTTTTGTATGTGTGTGTATGTGTGTGTTTTCTCTTGGAAGACTTTGAAACTTGGTATCTGCACATAATTTAGACGTTATAGAGCTTTTTCCTTTTCATTATGAAGATAAGGACTCAACAAACACCAAATTTTATCCAGTACTACCTCAAAAATCTGTAACTTTTGCCTAAGTGAACTTCACAAGCAATTGACATGCTAATGCTTCTTTGTGAAAACCAAATGGAAATACAACATATGCCTTCATGCCTTCTGTAATAAAGTAAGCTGAATGTAACTTCAACATTCCTTTATGACTCCAGCTTAGTCTAATAAACAGCTGTAGTATTCCAGAGGAGCAGGTGTAGGTGGTATGGGACATGGACACAAATATGCATTGACTCCAGCAATGCCTCCGAAGCCTGCTCTCAGTTAAAAAATCCATCACCTGTAATTTAGGCGTTTACTTCTTGTTCATATAAACACAATGACTCTTCATCAAATATACATACACAGTGCAAAAGAGAACTGCCTTTAGTAGATCACATGGTTACCCTAAGTAGTTAATGTAGTTTGGATCACTTTTATCCCCCAGTGTGGGTGTAGAGAGTGAGGGAGTTAGCAAAGAAATGGAATAGAACTAAGATTTGGTGGGTACTTAATTTGTTACCCAAACTTTCATTCATTTCTTAACTATCTTGTGAGAGAAGAAATATTTCTCTCACTTCACAGATAACAAGACTGAGCCCCAGAAAGATTAAATAACTTGTCCAAGTCCATAAAAGCTAAAAAGTGATGAAGTAAAGGATTTGATCCAAACTTGCTTTGGTCCTAGGCATGCATCTTCAGTCCCCAAGATGCTGTTTCAGAGAGCAGAGTCACTGGGTCTTGATCCCTGACACTTCATTATCATGCCAGCAACTATATTTTGCTATATAACAAATCACCCCAAAACTCAGTGGCTCAAAACAATGGACAGTTTATCTGCTCATAATTCTGCGGCCTGGGCTGGGCTCAGCTGGGTGACTCTTCTGTTGATCTTACCGATGGCTGCCTATGTGGATTATCCAGCTGGTAGGTCATCAGGGACCTGGACTTGGCCGGGATGCTGGGACGACCAGGCTTGTCTCTCACGGCCTCTCCCTCTTACGTGGCTTCTCCACATAGCTCTAGCAGGCAAACAGAATTTTGTAAAGCAGATCATGGCTCTGAAGAGAACAAAACACAAACTGTTTAAGGTTTAGAACAAGAACTAACACCGCATCACTCTGCCACTTCCAGCTAATTAAAATAAATCACAGTCACAACTCAGGTTCAAAGAGAGAGAACTAGACAAAGGCAAATATTGGAAGATGTGGACCACTAGGGGTCAACAATGTAACAGTGGTCACCACAATCTTCTTAAACTTTGGTCCAGTCAACTCTAAAAGTTGCTGATTCATCTGTACCTTATGCTTTTCTTAAGTTCAGTTTTTCACTCTTTTCCTGCTTGTTTCTCCACTCTCCCTATCATTTCTTAGCTTTTCTACATTGTAACTGGCCTTCCCTAGCCAGCCACAAATAAAGGGTGCCTCCCCTTCAGATCACTGAACTGACCAATCGCATCTTGTCAACTCTCTTTCAGGGCATCAGTCTTTGCAGCTAAAGTGTTCTATTGACAGAGATTTCTTTGTTTTGGTGGTGGTTTCGTTTTGCGTTGTTTTTCAAAGTGGGTTCAAATCTGGAAGTCTAATTTAAAGGAAATAGGACATTACTGCCTCCAAATGCAACTTGAATACATTTAAATGTTTTGTCCTTATAAATAAAATCTAGAATCTGTGATACTTCTCTTTAATTTTACCTGCAAGAAGGCCAAGGCAACAAATCAACATTTATCGTGTTTTACATGCTTTAAATTCCTTTAGCAGTCATTCACCAGGGCAGAGAAGGAAGAGAGGCCTGCAGGAATCAGATAATGTCCAGCATTACAATTCTAGTTCACAGCAGGTTGCTTCTTACATGTGGCTAAAATGAGATCAGATTAAATTTCCATTGAATCATTCAACCTGTCTGATCACTGCTGTCTGCTGTCAGGAGAATTTCGAGGGTACCAAGAATTAGCCAGGGTCAGAAGAACTTGCTGTACAGATAACACAATCATGAAGGGGGCAAAGGAAATAAGAGGAAAAAATTATAAACATACAAGGTGGAAAATCTTGCTGAAGGGGATCATGGGTTTCCATTTAAAATACTAAGGAATTAAAATGAAATTTTAAATAAAAGTGGACGTATGAATTACACTTCAAGAGTTTCTAAATCCATTCACTGACAATATTTATCATTGTTTCTATTATTCTGCTCCTTGAAGCCAGTCATTGGATCTTTGATTGTTGGATTACATTTCCACCAGATATTTAGGTGCAAAAATGAAAGGGGATTAAATTCAATTTGGCTATTAATTGCTCAAGTAAAGGAGGCAACTGAGATTAAAATGTCTTTGTCATTAGACTAATTTGTTGACTCTAAATTCTGTTGTCACAAACATCAAAAGTTAATTGAAAGTTTACATAAACTCATACATAAATGAAATATACAAACTCATTACAACCCTTATGATTTACAAAAGTCCAATAAATATTCTATAAAAATTTCAGAGAATCTGACTAGATTCTAATGTTGTCAGGAAGAAAAAAAATGTTTATCAAAGAAATTTTTGAAGAACATGAATGGGACTAGCCACACAAGATTTTTAAATACATCGTAAGGCTGAGCTGGAAGGAGGCTCCCAAGGGTGGCTGCCACCAGCGTCTGTGTCCTGGTGAGCTGTAGTTGCCACCCACCTCCACCCCCTGCCTCTCCAGGAGACGCTCCAAGGTTAGTTAGCATTTTTGATGAGAAACCTCTTTTAAAAATACTTTTGCTATGTTCTGTACATTTTGGCATCAACACATATTGTCTCTGCCTGCAGGACAGGTCCTGGATCTGACCCCATCTCTTCATCACAACCTCCAGTTCTCCCCTAGGACCAGACTTCACCACTCTCAGCCTCAAGTCACTGTCATTGTCTCCCACGTGAACTCCGTTCTTTGCTCTTTTGTTTATATGCTAGCTTCTGCCCTTTTATATGGAAAACAAACTCTCTATGGTGGAAAAAAAATAAGGCTATGATAATTAAAATAAGACTCTACTGAAAGAAGAAAAAATATAAATACATAGAATACACACTAGATAGCCCAGAATTGATTTTTTTTTTCCGTACAAGAATTTGCTGGAAACAAAAGTGACATCACTAGAAAGGAAGAACTATTCATTAACTTGTTTGGGAATAACTAGGTAAGACTTTTTTACAAAATAAAATTAATTAGACCCACCTTTCATAGTGTATAACAAAATAAATCTCAGATACATTAAAAAGTTAAATTTTTTAAAACATCCTTTTCCAAGTGCCCACTCAAACAAGGTTTTTAGATCTGTGAATTTAAAATCATGGATGACTTCTTAAGTTTAAAATCCACTTAAGAAATCACAAAAGACAACTGCTCAGATTACATAAAATTTAAACCTTCTATTTGTAAAAAAGAGTGTAGCATAACCAATTTCTTTTAAAGAACAAGAGATTGAAAAATGCATTATTTCTACTATGGCAAAAGCAAACATTTTCACATCTATTATTTGTTGATGAACTTTTATCTATCTGTGGCCTTTGTTCATGGACACAGAATTAATCTTCCTAAAACTCCATTTCCTTATGACATTTCCTTGTTGCAGGAGTATAGCAAGTCTTTTGTTTACCATTGTTAGTCATTTCAGTACAACCTTCATATACTCACCATATTCATAGACCATCTATACCCAATATTTAATAATTTTCTTTAAATCAACTCTGTTTTACTTAAATAAATTTACCTTTGTTCTAACTAATAATTTCTATGAAATCAGAAGTTTTCTGTAAAAGAGATTTAAATGTATAATACAAATTTAAAAACACAAATCTGTCTACCACTGAAGATTATCTATGCTGACTGTGATGATTAATTTTAATATGTCAACTTGGCTGGGGTATGGTATCCCGCTATTTGGACAAATATCAGTTTACTGTTATAGTGGCTTTTAAAGATGTGATGAACATTTAAATCACTATACTTTGAGTAAAGCTGATGACTTTCCATAATGTATGGGGCCACACCCAATCAACTGAAAGACTTGAGAGAAGACAGGTCCTCCAAAGAAGGAATTTGACCTTCAGACTGGCTTCAGATTCAAGACCTCAACATCAGCTCCTGCTGGAATTTCCAGCCTGCTGGCCTGCTCTGCAATTTTTGAACTTGGCAGGTTCCACAAATCACAAGAGTTAATTCTTTAAAATAAATCCTCACTCCTGTGTGTGTGTGTGTGTGTGTGTGTTTGTGTGTGTATACTCTATCCTGTTGATTTTGTTTCTCTGGAGTTTCTCTGACTGTCCTTTGGGAACACTGCTTTTACAAATCACATTCAAACATCTTGGCCTGGATGCCAATGTCCACCTAAATCTGGATCCTCTTTCCTGTTCCACCTTCATTTCATGTGACTTTCCAGTGCACACACTGCTTTACTCCATCTGGTCACTCATATCTTTGTGCTCTGCACTCTGCTGAGAATGCCTTGGTTTGCCAGGCCTCCTCAGTTACTACCTTCAAGACCTGGATCAATTACCACATGAGGAGCTAAGGAAGAAATAAGAGTCTCACATTTCAGTTCAGTTCAGTTCAGTCACTCAGTCATGTCCGATTCTTTGCAACCCCATGGACTGGAGCACTCCAGGCCTCCCTATCCATCACCAACTCCCGGAGTTTACTCAAACTCATGTCCATTGAGTTGGTGATGCCATCCAACCATCTCATCCCCTGTTGTCCCCTTCTCCTCCTGCCTTCAATCTTTCCCAGCATCAGGGTCTTTTCAAGTGAGTCAGTTCTTCGCACCAGGTGGCCAAAGTTTTGGAGTTTCAGCTTCAGCATCAGTCCTTCCAATGAATATTCAGGACTGATTTCCTTTAGGATGGACTGGTTGGATCCAACCAGATCCAACATATATAAAAACAGCTTTGGAAAGTAAGGTTCCATCCCATATTCCAATTCTGACTAATTGGTGGTGGCTTCTTGGACCATATTAAGAAGGATTCTGAGGCTCTCTGAAAGAGCACAGTGATCTATTAGTGATGTCTTACAGCAGAAGGGTGAGAAGGGGCAGAGTGGTAATAGACTTAGTACATATTTGCTCTCTGGCTTGATTATTAAGGAAAGTAGCCAAAAGTATTTTCCTGAGTCTTTTCCAATGCCTATTCAAACAAGATCAGATCTGTGAACTTTTTTTAAAAACTACATTCTAGTCATTTTCCCAATTTACATATATAGGGAAGTCAACCAAGAGCATTCAAACAAAGGTGAAAGAGAACAGAGAGCAAGCTACATTTACTTCCCTCACGCCTGCTTTTTCACATAGTACCAAATGTTGAAACAGAATCTACCTGCTGGGATGAGTGAGCGGGGAATACAAATATCCCCAGCATGCCCTCTTAGCTATTTCATGGCCAAGACACCTAGCACCTGACACTAAGACATCCTTGTAAGTACTTGGGGAAATCACTAGGAATGGAAGTTCTCCTGGGGCAGAAAAGTTGCATTGATCCTTCCCTGCCTTCCCATTTCTGGATTGCTAGACTAATAAAAGTAGCAACTCTTTACAGGGCACCAAGATCAGAGTTCCAAATTCCAAATAGGAAAAGGAGTACATCAAGGCTGTATGTTGTCACCGTGCTTATTTAACTTATATGCAGAGTACATCATGAGAAACGCTGGGCTGGAAGAAGCACAAGCTGGAATCAAGATTGCCGGGAGAAATATCAATAACCTCAGATATGCAGATGACACCACCCTTATGGCAGAAAGTGAAGAGGAACTAAAGAGCCTCTTGATGAAAGTGAAAGAGGAAAGTGAAAAAGTTGGCTTAAAGCTCAACATTCAGAAAACTAAGATCATGGCATCCAGTTCCATCACTTCATGGCAAATAGATGGGAAAACAGTGGAAACAGTGGCAGACTTTAATTTGGGGGGCTCCAAAAGCACTGCAGATGGTGACTGCAGCAATGAAATTAAAAGAAACCTTCTCTGTGGGAAAAAAGCTATGACCACCCTAGACAGTATATTAAAAAGCAGAGACATTACTTTGCCAACAAGGGTCCATCTAGTCAAGGCTATGGCTTTTCCAGTAGTCATGTATGGATGTGAGAGTTGAACTATAAAGAAAGCTGAGCACCGAAGAATTGATGCTTTTGAACTGTGGTGTTGAAGAAGATTCTTGAGAGTCCCTCAGACTACAAGGAGATCCAACCAGTCCATCCTAAAGGAGATCAGTCCTGGGTTTTCATTGGAAGGACTGATGATGAAGCTGAAACTCCAATACTTTGGCCACCTGATGCAAAGAGCTGACTCGTTGGAAAAGACCCTGGTGCTGGGAAGGATTGAGGGCAGGAGGAGAAGGGGAAGACAGAGGATGAGATTGTTGGATGGCATCACCAACTCAATGGACATGAGTTTGAGTAAACTCTGGGAGTTGATAATGGACAGGGAGGCCTAGAGTGCTCCAGTCCATGGGATTGCAAAGAGTCGGACACGACTGAGCGACTGAACTGAACTAAACTGAAGATCAGAGTTTGCCCAATTGATGCAGGTTTCCTAAAAAATAAACCCCAAATTGTCTTGATAGGAAATCTCTCTATACTTGGTATTCAATGGCTCTTTCCCATATTCTTTAAGACTGGGAGTTGAAGGGGAACATGAGTATTTGTACAGATGGATTCAGTTACTTTCATTTATCCTGAACTTGAGCACTTCTTTCCAGTGTAATAGTGTGACAGACACTGAAGAGACAAAGAGAAATCATATTTGGTCTGGGTTTTCAAGGAACTTGTAGCTTTAGTGATA